TCGGTTTGTGTCTCCTAAAAGGAAAGCAGCCTACATTAAAGCGTACAACTTTAGCGTGGAAAGTCGTGCGCCCATAGTCGATCTATCTCATCCCCTCCCCCCCCCGTCCTTCTCTGTTTAGAGTCATTAATGGTCGCGTTCAGCAGACTCAACTGTTGTGGAGCGGATCCGTGAGTGTTCGCTGTTATTGGATGATCTAGAAGAATACACCAATAACAGCGAGTGCTCACGGATCTGCTCCACAACAGTTGAATCTTCTGAACGCGACCAATGCAAAGTGGGGAAATAATCATTGACTTTAATTGTTAATGACTTTTTAACGAAGCACAAGTGCCGACAAAAACCTATTGGAGACTATTTAGAATCATGACATTGACAATATACGTCAATGTCAAGGTTATCGGCAGTTGCTCCTCTTTTTTTGTTTTATCTTTAATTTATATATATATATTACTAAAAACTTAAATTAAATTTATTCACTTCTATGTTTAATACAATAATGGTGATAATCGACGTTGTAATAATTATATGAAAAAAGTCAAGAAATATATTTTACAATTTTGTGAACTATACTACTTTTCATGGCTAAATTTTATTTTCTATAATAGTTAAGATGGGTAAAATAAATAATATTAAATTTTAATTTAAACGTTTAAGAACACAAATTGAATGAGCAGAAAAGAAACTTCACTACTTTTAACTGAAAAATTCAATCAATACAATGTTTACACTTTAGTGAATAGTTACTGTTTCGCTCTCTCTTCTCTCCCTCTTTTCATTGACTCCTAAACAGTTTTACCGAATATCTTCATGGCATAATCGCTATTTCGTGTTTAGTAACATATCGAGACTCTGTGTGGATACAATGGCACTTCGAAAAAGATCAGACAATTGGATTTGGAAACATGTTCTTAAATTAGACGATCCTTATGTACAGTGCAATATAAATAATTGCAAGAAAACTTATAAAATAATTAACAAATGTGAATCTAGAGCGATATTGATGATGAAAGGACATTTATACCATGAGCATGGAAAATACGATGAAAAAGATCGGTTAAAATGGGAAAACGACAATGACTTGATATGGCGATATTTCGATAAAGCAAACTTATACACAGTAAGTTGTAAATTTTGTGACAATTTACTTCGTCAACCATATGTACCACTTATAAAGTCGCATCTGCAAAATCATCGTCAAGAAATAAGAGCTGCTGTACAAAAAGAATTTGCTGATAAGTCTCTTTCGCAATATTATAAAATCGATATGAAAGAACTTAATGCACAGTGCAAACGTTGCAAAGATAAAATGGACATATTTTACGGAACAGATGCCTTAACACATCACATTCGTGAATGTTTAAAAAAGTATCAACGTTTAAAGTCTGGACAAAAATCTGAAGATAATAATGTGAACAGAACGACACAACAGTCTACAGCCACTGAAAATGCAAATACAAGCTCTCATCATGATAATATAAATAGTCAGCCTGGAAATCGAGAAAATCAACAAAGGTAGTTATTAATGTTTCACTTTTCTTAAGTTATTAATATATTATGTACATTTTAATAGACATTAAAAATTTAGTATATTATTTAATTTAATCTATTTACCTCAACGTTTATTACAATAACGGTAATAAACGATGTAGTAGCCTATAGTAAAAAAATCAAGAAACATTTCTAAATATAAGCTTGTACTAATTTTCGATATTAAATTTTATTTTCAAGTCAAAATGTGTCAAATATATAATATTAATCTTAATTTGATTGATTGACAACAGAATAAGTAGGAATTAACAATATGATTCTTAAAAAACTGAGATTCAATCAATAATCTTTACATATTAGTGAAAAATTATGTGTTTTACTCTTTCTCCTACCATTAATCTTTCCTAAACAACGTCTCTAAATATTTTCCTTGATTTGATCGGTATTTCATATTTAGTGACACATCGCAAGACTATGTGGATGTAATGGCAGCTCGAGAAAGATCAAACAATTGGGTGTGGAATTATTTACTTAAATTAGACGATTCTACTGTACAGTGCAATATAGATAACTGTACTATAACTTATAATACTGTTGATAGAAATAAAAGTAGATTGGTAATAATGATAAAAGGACATTTATACCATGAGCATGGAAAATACGATGAAGAAGATCTGTTAAAATGGGAAAACGACAATGATTTAATATGGCGATATTTCGATAAAGCAGGTTTATACAAAGAAAAATGTAAATTTTGTAACGATTCACTTTTCGTATCATATACACCATCGTTAATGGATCATCTGCGACAATATCATCGTCAAAAAATAAGAGCTAGTGTACGAAAAGAAATTGCGGATAAGTCTCTATCGCAATATTTCAAAATTCATGAAGAAGAATTTAGTGCATGGTGCAAACGTTGCAATTATAAAATGGACATATTCTACGGAACAGATGACTTAACACATCACATTTGTTTAAAAATGAATCAACGTTTAAGGTCTGGACAAAAACCTGAAGATGATAATGTGAACAGAATGACACAACAGTCTACAGTCACTGAAAATGCAGATACAAGCTCCTATCATGATAATATAAATAGTCAGCCTGGAAATCGAGAAAATCAACAAAGGTAGTTATTAATGTTTCACTTTTCTTAAGTTATTAATATATTATGTACATTTTAATACACATTAAAAATTTAGTATATTACTTAATTCAATCTGTTTACCTCAACATTTATTACAATAACGGCGATGTTGTAATAGCCTACAGTAAAAAATCAAGAAACATTTCAAAATATAAGCTTGTACCAATTTTCGATGTTAAATTTTATTTTCAAGTCTAGATGTGTAAAATATATAATATTAACCTTAATCTGATAGATTGACAACAGAATAAGTAGGAATTAACTATATAATTTAAAAAAAACTGATAGATTCAATCAATAATCTTTACAAATTAGTGAAAAATTATATGTTTTACTCTTTCTCCTATCATTAACCTTTCCTAAACAACGTCTGTGAATATTTTCCTTGGCTTGATCGGTATTTCATATTTAGTGACACATCGCAAGACTGTGTGGATGTAATGGCAGCTCGAGAAAGATCAAACAATTGGGTGTGGGAACATTTACTTAAATTAGACGATTCTACTGTACAATGCAATATCGATAATTGTGATAAAACTTATACGACTTTTGATAGAAATAAAGGTAGACTGATAATAATGATAAAAGGACATTTATACCATGAGCATGGAAAATACGATGAAGAAGATCGGTTAAAATGGGAAAACGACAATGACTTAATATGGCGATATTTCGACAAAGTAGGTTTATACAAAGAAAAATGTAAATTTTGTAACGATTCACTTTTCATATCATATACACCATCGTTAAGGCATCATCTGCGACAATACCATCGTCAAAAAATAAGAGCTGATATACTAAAAGAAATTGCGGATAAGTCTCTATCACAATATTTCAAAATTCATGAGAAAGAATTTAGTGCACGGTGCAAACGTTGCAATGTTGAAAAAAACATATTTTACGGAACAGATGCCTTAATACATCACATGCAAAAAAGTCGATGTGTATGGTATCGTGACGATCTTGATGATAATAACATGAACAGAATAACACAAGAATCTATAGCTGATGAAAATACAAATTCAAGTTCCCATCATGATAATTTAAATAGACAAGCTCTTGGAAATCGAGAAGATCAACAAAGGTAACTGTTATGTAATTAAAATATGTTAATGTTTTACTTTTCTTAAAAGTTATTAATATATTATGTACACTTTAACACACATTAAAAATTTAGCATATTACTTAATTCAATCTATTTACTTTAACGTTTATTACAGTAACAGTGAAAAACGATGTTGTAGTAGCCTACAGTAAAAAATCAAGAACCATTTAAAAATATAAACTTGTACCAATTTTCAATGTTAAGCTTCATTTTTAAGTCAAGATGTGTAAAATATATAATATTAATCTTAATCTGATTGATTGACAATAGAAATCGAATAAGTAGGAATTAGACAATATATGATTCTGAACTGAAAGATTCAATCAGTAATATTTATATATTAGTGAAAAATTGTATGTTTTACTCTCTCTTCTATCATCAACCTTTCCTAAACTTCTCTAAATATTTTCCTTGGCTTGATTGGTATTTTATATTTAGTGACACATCGCGACATTGTACGGATGTAATGGCAGCTCTAGAAGGATTAAACAGTTGGGTGTGGAAACATGTTCTTAAATTAGACAATTTAACTGTACAGTGCAATATAAATGATTGTGCCCAAACTTATATAAACCAAACTGATAAAAAGCTTGCAATTAGAATGATAACAATGATAAAGGAACATTTATACCATAAGCACGAAATATGGAATGAAGAAGATCGCTTAAAATGGATGAACAACAATGATTTGGTGTGGCGATACTTCGACAAAGTAGACTTATACAAAGAAAAATGTAAATTTTGTAACATTTCACTTTATCAAGCACATATACCATTTATAAAAAAGCATCTGCAAAGACATCGTCAAGAAATAAGAACTATTGTACGAAAAGAAATTGCGGATAAGTCTCTATCGCAAGATTTTGAAATAGATGAAAAAGAATTTAGCGCATTATGTAAACATTGCAATGTTAAAAAGAACATATTTTACGGAACAGATGCCTTAACACACACTTGTTTAGAAAAAAATCAATGTTTAATGTCTCGACAAGAAGAAGATATTGATGATCCTGAAAATAATGATGTGAACAGAATGACACAACAGTCTGTAGCCACTGAAAATGCAATTACAAGCTCCCATCATGATGATATTCAAGACCAACAAAGGTAATAAAAATATTAATGTTTGTTTTCTTAAGTTATAAATACATAATGTATACTTTAAGTACATTACAAATTTAGTATATTACTTAATTTACTTCAACGTTTCGCAATCGATAAAATACTTAATTGTAAGTTGCAATAATTACAACAATTACACTATATTAATTAGCGTATTTTATAGCAACACAGGAATAAATAACTTAAGATCTCACTGCCAATATCATATAAATGAAAATTCAAGGTATGAAAAAGAAGTTGCAGATGAAAATGCAATTACAAGCACCCATCATGATGATGTAAATAGGCAAACTCCTCGAAATCAAGACCAACAAAGGTAACTGTTATGTAATAAAAATATTAATGTTTTTTTACTTAAGTTATAAATACATAATGTATACTTTAAGTACACTACAAATTTTGTATATTACTTAATTTACTTCAACGTTTTGCGATCGATAAAATGAGGTGATCCCGATTGATCACGGCTCGATTGGACACCACCAATCACAGCGACCGGTGCTTAGGAGCTTTGTAGTCTCAAGCGCTGTGAGTGGCTCGTGTCCAATTGACCCGTGTCCAACTGGGTGCCACCCGATAAAATACTTAATTGTATGTTGTGGTAATTGCAGCAATTACACTATATTAGTTAGCGTATTTTATAGCAATACAGGAATAAATGACTTAAGATCTCACTGTCAATATCATATAAATGAAAATTTAAGGTATGAAGAAGGAGCTGTAGATGAAAATGCAATTACAAGCTCCCATCGTGATGATATAAATAGGCAAGCTCCCCGAAATCAAGACCAACAAAGGTAACTGTTATGTAATAAAAATATTAATGTTTTTTTTTTCTTAAATTATAAATACATAATGTATACTTTAAGACTTTAAGTACATTATAAATTTAGTATATTATTTAATTTACTTCAACGTTTCGCAATCGATAAAATACTTAATTGTAAGTTGCAATAATTGCAGCAATTATACTATATTAGTTTGCGTATTTTATAGCAACACAGGAATAAATGACTTAAGATCTCACTGTCAATATCATATAAATGAAAATTCAAGGTATGAAGGAGCTGCAGATGAAAATGCAATTACAAGCTCCCATGATGATATAAATAGACAAGCTCCTCGAAATCAAGATCAACAAAAGTAACTGTTATGTAATAAAAATATTAATGTTTCTTTTCTTAAGTTATAAATACATAATGTAAACTTTAAGTACATTACAAATTTAGTATATTACGTAATTTACTTCAATATTTCGCAATTAATAAAATACTTAATTGTAAGTTGCAATAATTGCAGCAATTACACTACTATATTAGTATTAGCGTATTTTATAGCAACACAAAAATAAATAAGATCTCGTTGTCAGTATCATATAAATGAAAATTCAAGGTATGAAGAAGGAGCTGCAGATAATAGCGAGTATAGAATGATACAACAAGATGTAGCAGCAGAAAATATGGTTACATGTTATCATCATGAAAGTACATATTGGCATGATCTTGAAAATCAAGAAGGTCAACAGAGGTAAATGATACTAACATCAGTATATTTTATTCTTCTAGAAGAATTAGTATATTCTATTATAAACAACAACACACACAACACACAACACACACACACACACACAACAGAATTGAACATTTAACGATTAACGATATAGACTTTATAATTTTGAGTCAAACATTTAACAAATGTGATTTGAATGTTATATTTATATCCAACTTATGTAATATTAATTAATGAATATATATCAAGTTCTGAAGAAAATAACATGAATAACATAGTATTCCTTGCTCATGATGTTTCGGATGTTAATTCTCATTATGATGGTACAAACTGGCAAGGTCTTGGATATCAAATAGATCAACAGAGGTATGTGCTATTAATTTAATGTCAAGTGTTACTAATATCAAAATTCGTGACTCAAAATTCTATGATATAAAAGCTCTCGGAAGATTAATTAACTGTCAATGTCTGTATGAATGGATATTCAAAATTTCAAGAAAGAACTAATGTTAAAATAATATAATGTATATAGAATGATGCACGAGTCTATAGCAGCAGTAAATATGGCTACAAGTTATCATGATGGAAATACATATTGGTACGTTCTTGGAAATCAAGATGATTTAAATGTTATACTTATATCCAATTTAAGTAATATTAACTAATGAATATATATCAAGTTCTGAAGAAAATAACACGAATAACATAGTATTCCTTGCTCATGATGTTTCGGATGTAAGTTCTCACGACGGTACAAATTGGCAAGGTCTTGGATATCAAATAGATCAACAGAGGTACGAAAATCAACAAAGGTAAATAATACTAATAATGATATATTTTATTCTTCTTGAAATATCAGTATATTCTATTATATATAATTAACGCAAATATATCAAACAATTAACATTTAAATATATAGACTTCATAAATTTAAGTCAAACATTTAATAAATATAATCTCACACACACAATGTTATATTTATATCCGATTTAAGTAATATTTACTAATGAATATATATCAAGTTCTGAAGAAAATAACACGAATAACATAGTATTCCTTGGTCATGATGTTTCGGATATAAGTTCTCATTATGACGGTACAAACTGGCAAGGTCTTGGATATCAAATAGATCAACAGAGGTACGTAAATCAACAAAGGTAAATAATACTAATATCGATATATTTTATTCTTCTTGAAATATCAGTATATTCTATTATATATAATTAACGCAAATATATTAAACAATTAACATTTAAATATATAGACTTCATAAATTTGAGTCAAACATTTAATAAATATAATTTCACACAATGTTATATTTATATCCAATTTAAGTAATATTTACTAATGAATATATATCAAGTTCTGAAGAAAATAACACGGATAACATAGTATTCCTTGGTCATGATGTTTCGGATGTAAGTTCTCATTATAACGGTACAAATTGGCAAGGTCTTGAATATCAAATAGATCAACAGAAGTATGTAGATCAACAAAGGTAAATAATACTAATATCGATATATTTATTCTTCTTGAAATATCAGTATATTCTATTATATATAATTAACGCAAATATATTGAACAATTAACATTTAAATATATAGACTTCATAAAGAACATAGTAAAGAAAAGGCCGTTTTTTGCCCACTAACGGAAAAGTGTAAAACATAGTGAATCTTATAGATTTCGATCTGCTGAACACGATGGTGTTATTAGTTTCCATTGAAAATGCAGGGAACATCGTCATTTTTCGAGTTAAAGTCGTACATTTTATCCTCTCTGTAATACATGATTTTCAATACGAGTGGATTATTTCATGTGAAACTTACAAGTAACCCTACCCAAGTGTCATTCACCGATTTTTCTGAAACTTGGCATGGTATTAAAACATCGAAAAATATTTGACACGTATTTTTTTATATCGACCCGTTTTGCATTTTAAGGGTAGAAAATACCCTTTTTCAATTAAGGGGGATGAAATCAATATCTCAGAAAGTACTTATTAAATTTTCATGAAACTTGTTACTCGGAGGTTTTCGAGGTCGCTGATTACGAAAATGATGTCAGATTTTCAAAATTCAAAATGGCGGATCCAATATGGCGGACGAAAAAACTAAAAATCAATGGAATTTTCATGAAACTTGTTACTCGGGGGTTTTAGAGGTCGCTGATTATGAAAATGATGTCAGATTTTCATAATTCAAAATGGCGGATCCAATATAGCGGATGAAAAAAATTAAAAATCAATCAAATTGTATCCAGTAAAATAATTAAATTCGTGACTCAAAACACATAGCGATAAGCGAAGAAATGTTGGAAGAATCTCGTTTAAGGAGGGTCGATACCGTAATATCAGTTCATTTAAAAATATTTTTTATATTGCGTTTATGATATAAAATATCATTTTTAACGATAAAGGGGATGAAGGGGAAAAGGTATCTTTTTCCTGAAAAAAAATTTGAACTCGGCAAAATTCATTCTATTAATACTTGTTATTTACTACTGAAATTTTCTTCATAAAAAATATTTAAACATTTTTAATAATTAACGAATTTCAATGAATGTTTGCTTAATTTCATAAGAATTTGATTCTCTACAACTTCTCTGAATAAACTTCCCTAAATTTAGTTTGTAACTTTTAATTATTAAACATATCATGAAAAAAAACAGTAATGTTTTTTAAACAAATCCCTATTTTTAACATTTGACATTAAAATTTGAAATTTTTTTCAGACAAGTTGTGAATAATCATTTTCTTAAGAATGTAATCCCTCGTTCATAAAACTCCGGTAATTATTAAAAATTTTTTAATATTATTTATGAAGAAAATTTCAGTAGAAAATAACAGGAATTAATTAAACGAATGTTTCTGGTTTTACATTTTTTTGGGGACTGGATTTGCTATTTTGAATTTTCAAACTCTGACATCATTTTCGTAATCAGCGACCCCGATAACCCCTGAGTAACTAATTTCAAGTAAATTCGATTGATTGTTTCGTCCGCCATATTGGATCCGCCTTTTGAATTATGAAAATCTGACATCATTTTCGTAATCAGCGACCTCTAAAACCCCCGAGTAACAAGTTTCATAAAAATTCCATTGATTTTTAGTTTTTTCGTCCGCCGTATTGGATCCGCCATTTTGAATTTTAAAAATCTGACATAATTTTCGTAATCAGCGACCTCAAAAACCTCCGAGTAACAAGTTTCATGAAAATTTAATAAGTACGTTCTGAGATATTGATTTCATCCCTCTTAATTGAAAAAGGGTGTTTTCTACCCTTAAAATGCAAAACGGGCCGATATAAAAAAATACGTGTCAAATATTTTTCGATGTTTTAATACCATGCCAAGTTTCAGAAAAATCGGTGAATGACACTTGGGTAGGATTACTTGTTAGATGCGAAGGTTCCTAATATATTGTTAAACGGAAATCTAATAAATAAGATGAATTCGAAATAAAGAATTCAAAATGGCGGATGCCATTTGGCCATTTTTTTGCTGTCGCTAATTGCTTTTTATAAACCGCTCTCAGCCGGCCCCATGGGGCAATAAGCGTGGACGTGGCGGTTTTCTGTCTCCTCTTTTTTGTGTTTTATATATTTTTTGTTTTTTTTTATTTTTTTGTGATTTGTATTTTTTTCATATGTTTAGTACTTTTTTAATGTTTCTATTCAATCGGTGTCTGAAATGTCAGACTTCTTCGTCCGATTCGTCATCCGTTTCATAATTGCGAGTCTCAAAGTAATCTGTAAGATGGGAAATCGGTAATACAGTATATTGCTCAAATAAAAAACACTAAGCATATAAAAAAAATACAAATCACAAAAAATAAAAAAAAAACAAAAAAACCTAAAACATAAAAAAAGAGGGGACAGAAAACCACCACGTTCACGCTCGTTGTCCCTGGGCCCGGCTGAAAGCGGTTTATAGAAAGCAGTTGATGACAGCAAAAAAATGGCCTAATAGCATCCGCCATTTTGGATTCTTTATTTCGAATTCATCTTATTTATTAGATTTCCGTTTAATAATATTAGGAACCTTCTCATATAAGTTTTACATGAAATAATTCACTCGTATTGAAAATTATGTATTACAGAGAGGGTAAAATATAGGACTTTAACTCGAAAAATGACGATGTTTCCTGCATTTTTAATGAAAACTAATAGCACCATCGTGTTCAGCAGATCGAAATCTATAAGATTCACTATGTTTTACACTTTTCCGTTAGTGGGCAAAAAACGGCCTTTTCTTTACTACGTTCTTTGAGTCAACAAATATTGAGTTCATATTTAATAAATATAATTTCAATATATTATATTTATATCCAACTTAAGTAATATTTACTAAAGAATATATATATATATCAAGTTCTGAAGGTAATAACACGAATAGCATAGTATTCCTTGCTCATAATGTTTCGGATGTAAATTCTCCTCATGATGGTACAAACTGGCAAACTCTTGGATATCAAGTAGATCAACAGAGGTATGTTTTATTATTTCAATATGTCAAGTGTTACTGATATCAGTGATATCAAAATTCGTGATTCAAAGTTCTATAATAAGAAAGCTCTCGAAATATTAAGTAGCTATCATTGTCATGTTACGAATGGCTATTCAAGATTTCAAAAAGAAACTAACGTTAATAATGTACACAGAATGATGGATCAATTCGTGGCAGCAGGAAATGTGACTACAAATTTTCATAATGACGATACAAACTGGCAAGCTGTTGGATATCTAGTAGATCAGCAGAGGTATGTGTTATTATTTCAATATGTTAAGTATTACTGATATCAGTGATATCGAAATTCGCAACTCAAAGTTTTATAGTGAGAAATCTCTCGAAAGATTAAATATCTATCAATGTTATGTTACGAATGGCTATTTAAGATTTTAAGAAAGAACTAATGTTAGTAACATGCACAGAATGATGCATCAATTCGTGGCAACAGAAAATGTGGCTACAAGTTCTCATAATGACGGTACAACTTTGCAAGCTCTTGGAAATCAAGAAAATCAATAAAATCAAATCTCGTTAATATATTGATGTCATTTTCATATTCACATATCACTTTTTGTTTTACTTCTATAAATATAAATTTAGAAAATAACAATTTTATAAATAATCTGTATTTATTTTTAGAAGATTTAAATTCTATATTATTACATTTTTTCAAAAATTTACAAAAAGCAGTAAAATCCTCAAAAAACCTTTTTAAAAAAAGAAAACATTTACGGCAAATGCATAAAAAAAGGTGTTGAATACATTCTTCTTAATCAAAAACGGATATGAAATAAATGTAATTAGCCAAGTATTTCATGCAAGATAAATAAGATAGACTAAGAATAACTAAAACTGTCAACTGGATTATATTAAAGAAAAAACTTAGCGTGCCCGGGTCGCATTAATTGCACTTCTGTGAATATATTATCTCAACACATTATTTGTATTATAAATTAAAATATAAAAATAATAGACATATGTATATAAATGTAATTTATATGTATGTATATACCGATATAGTTTGTGGGACATGAAAATATACTCACAAATAATAGATGTGATATAAATTATGGAGAAATAATATGTAATAGTATTGACAATATTTAGATATAACATTATAGATAAATTTACGAGATTAGTAAGCAATTATTAACATCTCTTTTTTGTTGAATTATTGTTTCCATGTATTAAGTATATCTGCAAAATATTGTATGTAATAATCTTTTTAATAATTTGCAAATAATTTCCGTACTGTTTAAACATATAAATCTTAGAATATTACGTTTTAATGCGACCTAGGCACGCCAAGTTTTTTCTTCACTATAATCCAGTTGACAGTTTTAATTACTTTTAGTCTATCTTATTTGTCTTGCGTGAAATACTTGGCTAATTACATTTATTTCATATCCGTTTTTTATTAAGAAGAATGTATTCAACACCTTTTTTATGCACTTGGCGTAAATTTTTCTTTTTTTAAAAAGGTTTTTTTATTGGGTTATTCATAAATCAATATATACAAGTCTTAACACTCAAAGCGACCTTTCTAGGACAAATCGGCACAAGAGTCATTCTGTCTTTGTTCAATAATCAGTAAAACAAAGACAGAATGACTCTTGTGTCAATTTGTGCCTCCTACTGGAAATATTTTTAAATACTGTTGCAACATTGCTGAAGTAATATTGTAAAAAGAAGTCTTCGCAATGTTTCTGTAACATTGTATTGCAATATGCAACGGTGAAATGTTGCACCAATGTTGCTACAAGTTTCTGTGCTGTACGGGTTCTTACATCGTTCATTTTTCTTCTTTTTTTTTCTTCAAAAGAAGGAAGGTGTAAAGTTCAACTAAAAAGAATCAGCTAGATTTACAATAAATAAAAAAAATTTTCTATTTATAATTTTATATATCATGATACTGTGATTTTAATGTAATTTTAACATGTATCTTATTTTATATACGCTTGATTATTTAAATATTTAATTTTTACCTCACATAATGAGATTACAAATAGAATTCTATTCTGATTTTTGATTAAATTATGCCATTTGATTTAGTTTTCGGATTATACGTGATGAATTTAAGAAAGAATGGATTAAACATTGCGGAAATCGATTTATAAGAACAAGAATAGAGTTAGATTAATAAAACATTGTATTGAACGTAATTTAGTATCTCCACACCTTTACAAAATTTCGAAGTTTGCCCCTAATTTTGAATTACACTTTTCTTCAGATGCGAGATTTACCAATATTAGGCTTGAGTATATCAGGAAAATTTTAAAGTTGGAATTGAATGATGCGTATTCAATTACGATTTCGCACAACAGAATTTTCCATTTTGTACGCATTATTTCTAATGAATTACCATTTAATATCTTGAACAAGTTTTTTTACTTCTCAGAATCATAAATTATATAATCAATTTATTTTAAATAAACAAAGAATAGACAAAAAAAATAGTTTAGTTGACTCGGAAGGAAGAGATTAAACAAAATGAGAATATAAAAAAATTAGAATATTTTTGCTACCAGGCGAAAATAATTCTAATAACAATAATAAGTTTGTTTATGAGAGATTGCCTTTGTCCTCCTCTAACAATTCTAATGCGGTAAGAATCAAGATTTCTTCATTTTCTTTTTTAAATGATGGGATGACTTCTTCATTAACAACTATAAGAAATAAGGTTTATTAATCTGTCTTTGGTCTACATTCCAACCAACATTCAATACCTTTTACACTAGGCGAGAATTTCTTACTTCCGATTAGCGGGGCAAGGTTGTCATGGAATTTATGAAGAATATAGAAAACAATATTAAGAAATTACAGAGTTCTGTTCATAATAATGAGTGAGGAATCATTCGTTAGCAATCATCAATAACTTATTGTCTTTCAAATCTAAAAATAATTCGATACATTATAGGTTAACTAAATTAGTACAATGTACGAAACAATTTCTCAAAAAGAATCGAAATATTATTTTTACAAAGGCTGACAAAGGCGACATAACGGCAGCATTAGAAAAAAAACTCTTACAATGAGAAAATCAATTCTATGCCAATGGATGAGAAGACATATTTTAAAATTTCTAAAGATCCTAGTAACAAAATCAATAATAGTTTGAAGAACTTACTCACAGGAAAAAAATCTAAATTTATCTCTGATCACATATATAAAAAACTTTACTGTGATGATGGCAATTTACCCAGAGCTTACGGATTTTCAAAGGTTCACAAGCCAAATTGTCCATTTAGAATTACATTAGTATTATCTCGGCAGTGGATAATACCTTGTATAATTTGGTTACGTTTTTACATGGTTTGATTATCGATAGTATATTAAAAGCTCCAAGCCATGTAAATAACAGTTTTGACTTGATCAAAAAATTGAACAATATTAAATCAGATTTTAGCTTGGTGTCATTAGATGCAATATCCTTATTTACAAATATCCCTTTGGACTTAGCGATGGATTCTCTTTCTAGCAGATGGAGTTACATTGAAAAAAATTGCAAGATACCGAAAGATGAATTCTTGAAGATGATACATTTAATTTTGGATTCTACTTACTTTACTTTCGATAATAAAATTTATAAACAGACCTTTGGTACTCCGATGGGTTCGCCATTATCACCTATTATTGCTGATTTAGTCATGCAAGATTTGGAAAATCGAATGCTGAGTGATTGAAAATTCCCATTACTTTTCTATTACAGATACGTGGATGATATTGTATTAGGTGTACAACTTTGCTTCCTCCGTTTCCCTATAGATGGCTTTAGCGGTAAGTGGTGGTCGAAATAAATAAATCATAGACGTCATACAATAAACTTGGGCATCTGTCAACATAACCCCAGAAACATTAGTCGATTTGTGTCTGCATCATAAAGTTATTCTCGATTGAAAATGTCGGTTTATGAGCCAAATTCTCGTCATTTGTGGGAGGTTTTAATTTTCTGTTTCAATATGAAGAAATCTGCGGCTGAGGCTCATCGAATGCTCTCAAATACTTATGGTGAGGCCGCTATTAGTGAAAGAATGTGTTGTGAGTGGTTTCAACGCTTCAAGAACGGTGATTTTGACGTCGAAGACCGGCATAGCGATGGAAGAGAGAAGGTTTACAAAGATGTAGAATTGGAGGCATTACTTGATCAAGACTCGTGTCAAAATCAAGAAAAATTGGCACGATCATTGAGAGTGACTCAACAAGCCATTTCAAAACGCCTCAAAGCCATGGGAATGATTCAGAAGCAAGGAAATTGGGTGCCGTACGAGTTGAAACCGAGAGATATTGAACGGTGTTTGTTTGCTTGTGAACAGCTGCTTGAAAGGCAAAGACGGAAGGGATTTCTGCATTGCATTGTGACTGGGGACGAAAAATGGGTTCATTACGATAACCCCAAGCGCAGAAAATCATGGGGAGATAAAACACTCCCGGCTATGCTTTCACGTCGACGGCCAAACCGAATATTCACGGCTCCAAGGTCATGCTCTGTATTTGGTGGGACCAGCTCGGCGTAGTGTACAGGGTCCGCCAAAAGTACCGGGACGGTCTAATAACTTTTGAAAGAATTAAATTTTCAAAAATCGCCGAAATACGTGATTCGATTTTTCAAACAAGCTATCTTTTGAGGGGGGATTTCGGCCCCCCCAACCTCAAGGAGGGTGGAGGGCACGAGGGGGGCCAAAAATCTTAAATGGC